TGGCTGAGCGGTTAAGCGCCGCCTTCAGCCCAGGGCGTGATCCTGGAGACCTGGGATCGAGTCCCACGTCAGGCTCCCTGCGTGGAGCCTGCTTCTCCCTCTGCCTGTCTCTGCCTCTCTCTCTCTCTCTCTGTGTGTCTCATGAATAAATAAAAATCTTAAAAAAAAAGATTTTGGGATCCCTGGGTGGCGCAGCGGTTCGGCGCCTGCCTTTGGCCCAGGGCGCGATCCTGGAGACCCTGGATCGAGTCCCACATCGGGCTCCCGGTGCATGGAGCCTGCTTCTCCCTCTGCCTGTGTCTCTGCCTCTCTCTCTCTCTCTCTCTCTCTCTGTGACTATCATAAAAAAAAAAGATTATTGAAAAAAAAAAAGATTTTATTTATTTATTCACACACACACACACACACACACACACACACACACACACACACACAGGCAGAGATATAGGAAGAGGGAGGGGAAGCAGGCTCCTTGCAGGGAGCCCGATGCAGGAGTTGGGCTCCGTGCTGGGGATAGAGTCCGCTTAAGATTCTCTTTCCCTCTGCCCCTCCCCCTGCTCTCTCTCTAAAAAAAAAGAAAAAAAAATGATCTCCTTGGGGCAGCCTGGGTGGCTCAGTGGTTTAGCACTGCCCAAGGCCTGATTCTGAAGACCCTGGATCGGGTACCACGTTGGGCTCCCTGCATGGAGCCTGCCTCTCCCTCTGCCTGTGTCTCTGCCTCTCTCTCATGAATGAATGAATGAATGAAATCTTTAAAAAAAACAACAATGAAGTTTTTTTTTTTATTTTATTTATTCATTCATGAGAGAGAGAGAGAGAGAGAGAGAGAGAGAGAGAGAGAGGCAGAGACCAGGCAGAGGGAGAAGCAGGCTCCATGCAGGGAGCCTGACACGGAACTCGATCCCAGGTCCCCAGGATCACACGCGGGGCTGAAGGCAGCACTAAACTGCTGAGCCACCCCGGTTGCCCTGTTTAAGTTTTTTTTTAAATGAATTTTCCATTATTTAGGCATGATTAAGTCATTGGCCATTGGTGACTAACTCAGTCCCCAGCTTCTCCCATCCCTGGAGATCAGGAGTAGGGTGGGTAGGTTAAACAATCCTTGGGGGTGTCTGGTTAAGTATCTGACTCTTCAATTCAGCTCAGTTCATGATTTCAAGGTCATGGGATGAAGCTCTAGGTCGGTTCTGTGCTCAGTGCAAAGCCTGCCTGGGATTCTCTCTCTGCCCCTCCCCTGCTCTCGCTCTCTATCTCTCTCTAAAATAAAACAAATCAATGTATTTTTTTTAAAGATCTAATTTATTCATGAGAGACAGAGAGAGAGGCAGAGACATAGGAAAGGGAGAGGCAGGCTTCTCACAGGGAGCCCAATGAGGGACTAGATAGATTCCAGGACCCCAGGATCATGACCTGAGCGGAAGGCAGATTCTCAACCACTGAGCCACCCAGGCATCCCCTAATCCTATTTTTTGTTAATGGTACTACTAGTACTCATTATCCCAGTGACTCAGTGGGAAGGTGGGAAGTCAATTTTAATTTTGTCCCTCCTCACAAAATCTACACATCTAATCAGCCTTTTTTTTTTTTTTCCTAAAATTTATTTGGGAGAGAGCAGAGAGAGCACAAAAGTGAGCATGAGTGGGGATGAAAAGTCAGAGGGAGAGGGATAAGCAGGCTCCCTGCTAAGCAGGGAGACCAAGGCAGCAGCTTTCCCTACCAATCTTTTTTTTTTTTTTTTTTAAGATTTTATTTACTCATTCATGAGAGACACAGAGAGGCAGAGACATAGACAGAGGGAGAAGCAGATTCCTCACAGGGAGCTGATGAAGGACTGGATCCTCTGACCCTGGGTTTATGACCTGAGCTGAAGGAAGATGCTTAACCGACTGAGCCACTCTGGTGCCCCACAAACCTTTGTAAAAAAAAGATATTATTGGGCTGCCTGGGTGGCTCACCAGTTGAGCCTCTGTCTTCAGCTTGGGCGTGATCCTGGGGACCCAGGATCAAGTCCCACATTGGGCTCCCTGCAGGGAGCTTGCTTCTCCCTCTGCCTATGTCTCTGCTTTTCTCTCTCTCTCTGTCATGAATGAATAAATAAAATCTTAAAAAAAAAAAAGACTTTGTTTCTTTAGAGACAGAGATTGTGAGCACAAGCTGTGGGGGAGTGGCAAAGGGAGAGGAAGAAGCTGACTCCTCACTGAGCAGGGAGCTCCAAGTGGGGCTCGATTCCAGGACCCTGGTATCATGACCTGAGCTGAAGGCAGACATTTAACCAACTGAGCCACCCAGGCGCCCCAACTTTTTTAAAATATTACTTTTAAGTAATCCCTAAAGCAATGTGGGGTTTGAATTTACAACCTTGAGATCGATTTGCATGCTCTACCAACTGAGCCAGCCAGGTGCCCCCAGCTACAAACTCTTGTGGTTTTTCCCTGCAGTACTATTCCTATTTGTTCTTTCCTTCCTATTTTCATTGCAACAATGTGTTGCCTTTTACCTCTTTTATTGTAGCCTGATAGTTTATTTATTTTTTTAGTTTTTTTAAGATTTATTCATGAGACACAAAGAGAGAGAGAGAGAGAGAGGCAGACACAGGCAGAAGGAGAAGCAGGCTCCATGCCGGGAGCCTGATGCACGACTTGATCCTGGGACTCGAGGATCACTACCTGAGCCCCACTACCTGAGCCCAAGGCAGGCACTAAACCACTGAGCCACCCAGAGATCCCTTAGCCTGATAGTTTAATCTCTTCTTTAATCACAGCTATACCATCTATTTTGTTTAGTTTTTATTTCATAATCATAAATTTAATTTTGCAATCCAGCTAGACTTGGAGAGGAGTAAGGAAAATATGCAATCCATAGAACTGTAGTGAGAGCACAAAGATTATAGGATATTTTAAGCAGATGGGGGTACAGGGGTGCTCTCCTGAGCTATAGAAATAACAGTCTGTAGTAAAAATACAAATCAAATTTATTAGACTTGTCCATAGTCAGCAATGTTGATCCTCTTGCTGGTCCTGCCATTCCTGGGCCCATAGCTCTTCATGGCTTCCCCGAAATACATGCCCTCTTTCACCTTGCCAAAGACCACATGCTTGGCATCCAACCACTCATTCCTGGCAGTGCAGATGAAAAACTTCGTGTTGGGTCCTCCATTTGCCATGGACAGATGCCAGAATCCATATGCTTCAGGAAGAAATTCTCATCATCAAATTTCTCCCCATAGATGGAATTGCCACCACTGCAACTTATGACATGTGAAATAACTACTCTGGCACACACAACCCAAATAATCCTGTGAAAGCAGGAATCTTTTTTTTTTTTTAAAGATTTTATTTATTTATTCATGAGAGACAGAGAGAAAGAGAGAGGCAGAGACACAGGCAGAGGAAGAAGCAGGCTCCATGCAGTGAACCTGACGTAGGACTCGATCCCAGGTCTCCAGGATCACACCCTGGGCTGAAGGCAGTGGTACACGCTGAGCCACCCGGGCTGCCCAAAACAGGAATCTTTATAACCAAATCCTTTTTCCTTAGTGCTCAGGGCGAGAAAGTTTTCTGCTGTCTTTGGAATTTTGCAAATAATTCAAAGGAGAGGCGGCCCAAGGGCTGAAAGAATGTGGTGGAGTTGACCATGGCTGGGTGGCACAGGTTGTTGCAGGGCGGCAGCTCTGCAAGGACTGCTGTACAATCTTTATTAATCTTTTTAAAGTACATCTATGATGGCATCATCCTCCACGCAAAATCATAAAAACATAACTCCCCTGTGCTCACAGAATAACGTGCAAACTTCCCAGTTTACTATCCAAAGCTCTTCATAATTTGGTTTCAACCTAGTCTTTTTGTTTTTAGTTTGTTTGTTTTAGGCAGGCTACATGGCCAACGTGGGGCTTGAACTCAGGACTTTGGGATCAAGATTTGCATGCTTTACACACTAAGCCAACAAGACACTCCCAATCTACCTTTTAAAAAGGATTTTGAGAGTGGGAAGGAGAGAGAGAGAGAGAGAGAGAGAGAGAGAGAGAGAGCATGTGGAAGAGTAAGCATGTGCGAGGTAGGTGGGGGAAGGGAAAGGAGGGGACAGAGAGAGAAGCAGCCTCTCTGCTGGGCAGGGAGCCTGAAGCTGACTGGGGTCATGACCTGAGCTGTAAGCAGATGCTTAACCTACTGAGCCACCCACGGGCTCCCAATCTCCTTTTAATTCCACATCTATTGCACACCCTACCACATAGTTTATATTCGAATCTGAGCTTCAGTTTTGCAACCCATATTTATTGAGTACAAGGTGCTGGGAATCCACTAGGAAGCAAAACAGGCCAGTTCTTTCCCAGTCCTGCCTCCTCAAGGTCGATTTAATCTCAGTCCCATTCTTCCACACCCTGCACTGGACAGGAGACTTCTCTAACAACTTCCTTGTTTCTATCCATGATGGGCTTAAGGCCAAAACAACAACAAAACAAAACAAAACAAAACAAAAAAAACGCGCTAAAAAGAAGAAAAAGATGGCAAAATGTGAAGGTGAGTTGAGGTGTGAAAACTGGGAGGCCCCTTTCCCTTACTATTTATAGCAGACCCTCACTCTTTACCCGGAGTGGAAAGGATGTGAAAAAGGCCCAGCACTGGGCTTGGCTGAGAAAACAGGGGCCAGGTAGGAGAGAAGTTGGCTTTCATGAGGAAGGCCTGCCATTACAAAGACCACTACAGGTTTCTCCGCCCGCTAGGTGCAGGGGTCGGCCCTCGGTTCACGGACCTGGATCCCTCACTCACTCGCTTCAGGAGCGGTCCAGGCGGCCCCCCCCCCGCCCTCTCTCGGGGCTGCTTTCCTCCCAGGCGTCGCAGTTCCCGCCTCAGCTCTCCAACACCCGCGGAGCCCGTGGAGGAGGGACGTCTAGCTGGTTCCAGCGTCTTCGGGCTCCGAGCTCCCGGACCCGCCCCCCGCGCCAGTTGCCAGGGAGCGGTTGCCATAGAGCTGAGCAGTTGTCCGCGTGCGCAGGCGGAAGTCCCGGATTGAGGCGCCGCCATTTTTGCTGCCCGGACACCGAGCGAGAGGTTGAGAGAGTCGGAGACGCTATCCGCTTCCATCCGTCGCGCAGACCCTGCCGGAGCCGCTGCCGCTATGGATGATCGGGAGGATCTGGTGTACCAGGCGAAGCTGGCCGAGCAGGCTGAGCGATACGACGGTAAGTTGGGGGGGCAACAGGGGGCTGGAATTGTCGGACCCTCTGCCGCCGCCCACAGAGGCCGGGAACAGGAGACAAAATGGCGGCATCGCCTCCGAGCCTGGCCGGGGATGTGGATTCGAGAAGTAGGAAATGGCCTGTGGGCTCCCGGGGCGGTGGCAGGCCCCAGGCCCAGGAATTTGATCCCTTTGGTCTCCTCCGCTGCAGACACTGGCGGGCCAGGAGGCCGAGGCGAAAGGGTGGAGGAGTTGGTTGTAAAATGGCGGCTGGGGGGGAGGGCGAGTCCCCGGGCGGGGGAGGGGGAGGAGATGGCGGGTGTTATCTCCCGGCGAGCAATCCCCAGGGGAGCTTCTGGGTCATCTTGGGATGTGGAGAACAATTGGGTGGGGTGATGGGGGAAAGAAACACTCGCCACATGGGGGAGAGTAGCACCAGGAGCTGCAACGCGGACGCCTATCAGGGAAATATGGCGGGTGGGGGCGGTGGCTTTTCCCCGGAGGCCCAGTGTGGGGCGGCGGCTGTGGAGGCTCACAAAGGAGAATCCTTGCGAGCGGAGGACAGCTTTGGGTTCGTGGTGGAGGGCAGTCCTGGATGAGGGCTGAGGAAGGACCGTGAGAATCACTGCAGTTCATCTTTGAGCAGAGGCCAGCTGAGATGCTGCGATCGGATTTCCTTTCTGTAGGCCGGCACATCTTGTGTTGAGGGTATTCCAGGCTTTCAACCTCGCCTTCTGGGGAGGTCTAGAAAAATCTCACGATCCCTTTCCTCAGACTTACCCTGGAGAGCTCAAAGTTCCTGTAAGCATTTTCTTGCACCGTTAGTTAGGGGTTCTGGTGGATACAGCTTTGTACAGGAAACAAGGAGACCATGGCTTAGTCCCTCAATTGCCCAGGCCTCAGTTTACCAGTTTTTAAAAATGATGACTTTCCTGTTTACACTAGACGCGCCGCTGTGACAAATGGAAAGACCTGTTGGAAAATAAAGTTATTTCAAATAACGTTTAGTAACTGTGTTTTGGTTGACTCCCGGGGCTTGGAATGGGTGTTTATACTTCATTGGGAATCTTAACCTATCCCAAGCAATCGCCCGAGGCTTGGGTTTTTGGATTTTGAACGTAAGGCTTCCCAGCAGATCCTATTTTCTTTTTTCTATTTTAAATAAATGGCTTTGTGTACAGATTTGAACAGTTCTTTGTTCATTGGTTCTTTGCCCCTAAAGGTTCTTTAGTCCTTTTTTCAGAACTTGATCGAAATGTCCATTGTGTCCGTTTAGTCAGTCTCAGGCTGCTGCTTTTTAAAATTGCCCCCCCACTCCCTCCATTTTGGGTCTAGTTCCTTGAATTACCCCCATATCCGTTAGGTTGTAGTATTATAAAAACACAAATTCTTATATGTGGCTTCTGTGGTTTTAATGCTGTCTGGGGTGAGACAAGGTTGGAATCAAGTGCCATTGATCTTCAGATTTTTTTTTGTAATTACTGTGAAGCCACTTTTTCAAAACGTTATGTAGGGCCCTTGCTTTCCTTGAATGCCAGATTGGTCATGTGAATAGCCTCAGGGGTAGTCCCAGTACATCCTCATACCTTAGGATTCAGGAATTTGAAAATCAGGAAAAAAGCCCAAGAACTCAAAATGAGGAAAAGTGTAGTGCACTAAATTTCGTTTTGTAAATCCTTAAATGTCTGCAGTATTGAAGGAGATTCTTGTTGGGAGGGGGAGGGAAAAAAGATGGGGAAGTACAGCTCAAGGTCAGATTTGTCCTTAATTCAATGTTTAAAAGTGAAACAGTGTAGGTGTGCTGGTAGTGGAAGTTTTTTTTTCTTCCCCCTTATGCACCAAATGGGTTCCTCTTGTAATGCATTGGTGTCCTTGGGAGAAAACTTGAAATTCTATTTGAATGCTTTTTGGTCTGTAAGGATTTAGGCTTTGGCTAAACTTTCTGGGATAACGAAAAGGACGTGGAGGAAGGTTTTTTTGTGTCTTTCTTAAAATTTGTTTTAAAAACTTAATTTAGAAGCCCCTGGTTGTAGCTTCCAAATAAGTGCCAGTTTAGTGATCATATTTTGTAGTTGGGTGCTGCGGAATTTTAATGAAAGTCCTTTTTTGGTTATTCAGCATAGCACTGTATAGAGAGAGCCACATCATTAAGTTATTTAAATGTTGTGTCTCCTTCAGGATATAAAGGGGGAAGAAAATAGGATCTACCAGGTAGGTGGGACTTACTGGAAAGGAAGAAAAGGAAGGCAGTCATCAGGAATCAGCTTCTACCTGTGTCCATTCCTTTATTGGGCGCAATAATTAACTTTTGTTTGTGGTGACAAAAATTCCCCATAGTTTTAGTCACCGAACAGTATGTGGTTGGGGAGTGGAAGAAAGGAAAAGTGAGTCTGAATGATTTGGGTTTAGATGCTTTGATGTAAGGACTGACTTTTCTTGTTCCCGCAGTATCTTTTATTTTGCATACTCTGTTGAACTTAATACTTCTGTGTAGCATTATTTAATTATATTTTGGGGAGTTGGAATCAATTTATATGGATTACTTAATCGTACTAGAGGAAGAGCTAAGTTGTGTTCAGGAAAAAGACACTTGTGGGTTGCAGATAGGAAATAGGAAGTTTGGAGCTAGGACTCTTCACCTTGAACATCCTTTGAAGATTGAATGTAGCCTCTCATCACTTATGAAGTCTGTAGTCTAAGAAGTAGTTTTATTTATTTATTTATTCATTCATTCATCCATTCATCCTTATTTATTTATTTATTTATTTATTTATTTATTTATTTATGATAGTCACAGAGAGAGAGAGAGGCAGAGACACAGGCAGAGGGAGAAGCAGGCTCCATGCACCTGGAGCCCGATGTGGGATTCGATCCCGGGTCTCCAGGATCGCGCCCTGGGCCAAAGGCAGGCGCCAAACCGCTGCGCCACCCAGTGATCCCTAAGAAGTAGTTTTTATAACATTCGTAGCCATATGAAGCAAATCTATCACCTTTTAGTATTCCTGAACCAAATTTACATTCCCATAAAGAGAAGTAGTCACATTTTTCAGTGTAGAGGGGGCAGCATAAAGTACATTTGGGTTTGTGGGGTAGTTGCTGGTTTTGTCCTTTCATTACCTTTTCCCTGTGATGATTGACTCTGGGGGTAAGGGTAAAGTTTTGATGGTCACTTTTGCTTCATTCTGTATGTGAGTGCCTCAATACTAGAAATGCATCTATTCTGAGTCACTTACTTGAGAGCTGTCCTTTTAAAACACCAGAGCCTCATCTCTAGCTTATTTTGGTAGTCGGTGAAGGGTGGGGACATATTTTGAAATAACTCTTTAATACACGTTAGGAAAAAATGGGTAAATAGTAATTTTTTAAAAAGATGTATTTGTTTTAGAGAGTGGGGAAGAGGGGGTGCCCTCGTGGCTTAGTCAGTTGTCTGCCTTTGGCTAGTTAGGGTCATGATCCTGGGGTTCTGGGATTGAGCCCCATGTTAGACTCCCTGCTCAGTGGGGAACCTGTTTCTTCCTCTGCTCTCTCTCTCATGCTCTCTGTCTCAAATAAGTGAATAAAATATTAAAAAAAAATAGAGGGTGTGGTAGAGGCAGGAGAGAGAATCCTAAGCAGACTCCTTGCCCATTTTGGAGCACTGGGAGCCTGGAGTAGGGCTTGATTTCAGGACCCTGAGATCATAACCTGAGCTGAACCCAAGAGTCCTGCTTAACCGAGTGAGCCGAGCCACCCAGGCAGCCCAGCAAATTAACTTTATTTTATTTTATTATTTTTAAGATTTTATTTATTTAGGGATCCCTGGGTGGCGCAGCGGTTTGGCGCCTGCCTTTGGCCCAGGGCGTGATCTTGGAGACCTGGGATCGAATCCCACATCGGGCTCCTGGTGCATGGAGCCTGCTTCTCCCTCTGCCTGTGTCTCTGCCTCTCTCTCTCTCTGTGACTATCATAAATAAATAAATAAAAACTTAAAAAAAAAGATTTTATTTATTTATTCATGACAGATGCACAGAGAGGCAGAGACACAAGCAGAGGGAGAAGCAGGCCCCATGTGGGACTCCATCCCGGGACTCCAGGATCACGCCCTGGGCTGAAGGCAGGCGCTAAACCGCTGAGCCATCCCCGCAAATTAATTTTAATTTTTTAAAGATTTTATTTATTCATGAGAGACACACAGTCAGAGACATAGGCATAGGAAGAAACAGGCTCCTTGTGGGGAGCTTGATGCAGGATGCGGGACTCGATACCGGATCATGACTGGAGCCAAAGGCAGATGCTCAACCACTGAGCCACCCAGGCGTCTCTAAGTAATAAGTTTTTTTTTTTTTTAAGATTTTATTTATTTATTCATGAGAGATACACACAAACACAGAGAGAGAGAGAGACGGAGAGCGAGCAGGAGAGAAAGGTAGAGACATAGGCAGAGGGAGGAGCAGGCTCCATGCAGGGAGCCCAACATGGGACTCGATCCCAGGACTCCAGGATCATACCCTGAGCCAAAGGCAGATGCTCAACCACTGAGCCACCCAGGCGTCCCTCTAAGTAATGAGTTTAGTTTGTTTGTTTGTTTATTTATTTATGATAGAGAGAGAGAGAGGCAGGCAGAGACACAGGCAGAGGGAGAAGCAGGCTCCATGCACCGAGAGCCCGACGTGGGATTCGATCCCGGGTCTCCAGGATCACGCCCTGGGCCAAAGGCAGGCGCCAAACCGCTGCGCCACCCAGGGATCCCTAAGTAATGAGTTTAAAACAGGTTGCTATCCTTTGACTGTAGGCCAGTAATAATTTTTATTATTGCTACTTCAGTTAATGGAGTTAACTTTATTGGATATACTTTTTTCTGTATCAGATAATGCAATAGGTCACTTTTAGTCTTCATATTTAAAGCAGATGCTGTTGTGTGTAGAGGTCTTTTTAGTGCTTCAAAAAGAAAGGTTTTTTTGTTTGTTAAGTAAATTACACTACACATGAGGCTTGAACTCACCACCGACTCCAAGATGAAGAGTC